GCCCATTATACATGGCCCAAAATAAACCTAATCTACTAAGAACTTACTGATGGCCCATGATGATAAGAGTTTGGGCCAACTTGAACATTATGACTCCAACATTCTTGGAGTATGCTTGAGTGTGGATAGGAGGTATTGGATCACATACAAATGGAAGGTGGATGTTTAGGATAGTTTCTGTGCAATTGACTACATATATGATTTATTGATTTGTTTTATGGACTTAATTATATGTTCTGCATTTCATAGTTGTTTCAGGTTGTAGGGGAGGTGAGGGGCGTATGTATAGGCGATAGTTTATTGGGTTACCTAAACCTAAAAGTAAAGAAAAACTAATAGGTAGAGGAGAAGAGATTGATACCTCTATTTTTGGTTTGTCTTTCTTTTCAAAGAGGCCTACACTGACCCATCATTATCTGAGGATTCTTCTTGTAGGATTATTCTTCTTTTGGATTTAAGGGAACCTTCAGCTAATGAAGAAGTCTCGACTCTCAGATTTGTTAGTGATAAGGAGCTTCCTCTTTTCAGCAATTTTCACAAGAACTTCATATAGTTCCTTTGTTGTTACCTCAACACACTTTTCCACTACATTTTGAGGACATTCTCTTCTTGAGCTCATAAGTGTTGCCTCAATTTCTCATTGTGTCAGAACCCCAATTGGTTTGCAGCTTCCTCGAGAAGCACAATGTCATTAGGGCTTTGGCTACAAGATGCTTTTGGTTAAAAGGAGGTTATTTCAGTTCTCTTACTTTCCATTATTTTATCCTTGGTTAGGGATGCACCCTTTCCCTTGACCAAATCAAAACACTTAAATACCCATATGGGGGGTCCCTATTATCCAATTTGTAGAGTCTTAGCTTCTTAAAACCTAAAGGCTCAAAGTTTGGACCGTGATATGTTAATAACAAAATTTTGACAATGCCACGTGTCAGGGTATTATTGGTTTATATGATTATTTTTTTAAAAAAAAGCCTACCTAAAGAGCAAAATTGTGGGAAGATTAAGTTTTCAATTTCATTTTTCCAAATATCTTGCCCCTTATTCTCGAGAGCTCTCTCATTTCCTCCATCATCGGCAAATCCTCTTTCGATTCCTCTACCACCACCATCCTGCCAGGTGGTTTACTCTTTCAATTGTCAGCCATTTTTGTTATCGTCGCCTTGGTGGTTTCGTTTGATCTTTCGAAAACGCCTTTGCTGTTTTGCGAAAACCCATCTTTCCTCCATTGTAGTCACCGTGCTCGTGGCTAGGTTTTGTGTCTGTTTCGTTCTATTTGGTGTTTTCTTGTTGGTCTTTAGAGTATAGAGAACTTGTTCGGTCTTATTTGGTGTAAAACCATTGTCGTCCTCCTTGTGTGCTCTGTTTTTGGTGTCTTACCTTCTTCTTTGTGTGCTTTGCTTTTGTTGTTTTGGAAAGCTTGTTTCAGAAACCTTAATTTTTTGGGTTTATGTTGGTGTTGGTTGTTGGGTGTTTGTGTGTGTTTGTTCCTTATTTTGGATGTTGCACACAAAGAAGTATGAACATAATCATTAACTGGGTAACAAGATCTCTTGATTCATCCTTGTTTGTTGTGAATTTATAAACATCTCATTAATATGAAAGTTATTTGGTATATCGTCATTCCTTTCTTTTGTCTCTGTTAAGATAATAAAGCACGCAATGTCATTATCTTTAAATTGGTTTATGTGCGTGAGCAGGAGTTGCAAAGTAGATTTGCAGCCTTCATAAGAAGCGGAGCATTGGTGGAGGTTCTCATGATTGGACATAAAGATGGGGTTAAGTGAAAAGTGTTTCTTTCCACATAACGTAATTCGAAAAAGTTTGGAAAATGGTGGAAGGAATTTTGCAAATAATATGGGTTGAAGGAATGAAGATTATCTCGTCTTTGAGGTTGAGAACGAGAGAACATATATTATTATTCAAGTTTGTATATATTATGGTTGAAGTTTGTACAAATGGATGTCATTGTGATGTTCTTGACTTAATTTTCATTTGTATATATTATTGTTCAAGTTTGTATATATTATGGTTATACGATTGTGTTGTTATAAAAATTGTATTAGACTTGTACCTGAATTTTGGGATTGACATTTATGTTTTACATAAGTTATTCATTAGGTTTCATTTGTATATATTATTGTTCAAGTTTGTATATATTATGGTTATACGATTGTGTTGTTATAAAAATTGTATTAGACTTGTACCTGAATTTTGGGATTGACATTTATGTTTTACATAAGTTATTCATTAGGTTTTATATAATTTTATGATTATAAATGTTGGATCAAATGTACTCATTGAATATGATCTTAATAAATTTTCAATTTTGGTCCTCAATCGTATTTTTGTTGTAATATTATTGCAACAAATGTAATTCAACACATTAGCAATTGATTACACACCCTTTGTAATAGATCATTTCGACAATTTAAAGGAATAAGATGTTTTTCATGCACTAAAGACTACCAAAGACCACGAAAATCACTTACCCAAGTTAAAAAATTGAAAAAATCACCCAAAAACACAGCCCAAACAACCCTGGGAGTCCAATTCCCAAAATGCCTCTGGTAATCGATTACAAAGACCCTATAACTGATTACCAAAGCCTAAGTTGGGCACCCAGGTTCAAGCTTTTGACCAAGCTTTGTTCAAACCACTTATCTGGACTTTGGCCTACATAATTGAATGAACCAAGGTGTCTTTCGATGCACTAAACACCACCACTGATGAGGAAATTCACTCATCCACCCCAAAAAATTAAACAAATCACTCAAAAACAAAGTCCAGGCAACCTTGGGAAGTCCTGTTTTTCCAGTTGGGGAATCACGTTGAACTTTTGGTACAAATTCCCCTCAAGCCTCTGGTAATCGATTATAAGAACCCTGTAATCGATTATTAGGGCAGAAAATGGGCAACAATTTTCATGGTCCTCATCTAACTTACATGAAAGCACCTAAATGAACTTTTTTCTCAACATTTCAATGGCCTAACGTATTCATTGGTGCACTAAACACCACCCATGACCATTAAACTCACTCACTCATCTCAAAAATTGAAAAATGTCACTAAGAACACAAGCAAAACCATCTTGGGGAGTCCAGTTCTCCCAGTTGAGGGATTCACTTTGAATTTTCTATACAAATGTCCTTTGGTCTCTAATAATCGATTACAAGACCCTTGGAAAAAGTCACAAGAACATAGCAAAAAATCATCCTAGGGAGTCAAGTTCTCCCAATTAGAGAGTCATGTTGAACTTTCTATACAACTACCCCCAAGCCTCTAGTAATCGATTACAAGACCCTTGTAATCAATTACTAAGGTAGAAAATGGGCAATAATGCTTATGAACCTCATCTAATTTACATGAAAACACCTAAATGACTTTTTTTTTCTCAACAATTCAATGGCTCAACGTGTTCATTGGTGTACTAAACACCACTCATGACCATTAAACTCACTCACCCATCTTTAAAATAGGAAAAAGTCACCAAGAGCACAAGCAAAACAAAATTGGGGAGTCTAGTTCTCCCAACTGGGTTATCACGTTGAACTTTCTATACAACTGCCCCATAGGCCTCTAGTAATCGATTACAAGACCCCTATAATCGATTACATTACTAAGGGAGAAAATGGACAACAATGGTCATGGACCTCATCTAATTTACATGAAAACCCCTAAATGACCTTTTTTTCTCAACAATTCAATGGCCCAATGTGTTCATTAGTGCACTAAATACCACCCATGACCATTAAACTCACTCACCCATCTCAAAAGTTGGAAAAAGTCACCAAGAACACAGGAAAAACCATCTTGGGGAGTCTAGTTCTCCCAACTGGGGAATCACTTTGAACTTTTTGGACAACAACCCCCTAGACCTCTAGTAATCTTTTACAAGACCCATGTAATCGATTACATTACTAGGGCAGAAAATGGGCAACAATGCTCATAAACCTCTTCTAACTTACATGAAAGCACCTAAATGACTTTTTTCTCAATAATTCAATGGGCTAACGTGTTCATTGATGCACTAAACACCACTCATTACCATTAAACTCACTCACCCGTCTCAAATTGGAAAAAGTCACCCAAACACACTAGCAAAACCATCAAGGGGGTCATGTTCTTCCAACTGGGGAATCACGTTGAACTTTCTGCACAAATGCCCACAGGCCTCTAGTAATCGATTACCAAACTTGATGACACTGTTATGGAGACGCTAGGATCCATGGGCGCTTTAGGTGGAAGCTCAAGCCCCACACTATGTTACTCTTCATCTAGAATTTGATCAACATATCGGAGAGTGTGTAGTTAGGGTTTGGTTTAGTTGGGAGTGAAATTAGAAAAGGGGAAGATGAAGAAGAATGAGGGTTTTGGGAAAATGAGGTGCAGGACAGTCCAAATCGTTGAGGAAGGAACACCAAAGAGAATTTAGAGTTTTTAAATATTTTTCTTAAAGGGTAAAATCGAAATATTATAGTTTATAGGGGTGCGGGAAGAAAAACAGAAAGTGCATAAAGAAACAGGCCAAAATGTATCTTGAATAGGAACCAAAGTAGAAGTTTTTCTTTCATTGTTCATGAATTTGAACAGTTCCCCAAATGATTGATCCATTAGACAATATAACACTAGACGAACATAAATTAATTGACTAGGAAAATATTTTATTTGGGCAGATACATGAATAATGGATCTTGAATTTCTTTAATTGAACAAAATACTAAATGGTAGGTAATTTATTCAGGGATTAAAGATAGAAATTTGGACGGCAAAATATTTCATTTGGACCAGATGCATAAATATTTTATTTGGACGGATAAATGAATAATGGATCTTGAATTTCTTTAATTGAACAAAATACTATATAGGTAAGTGATTTGTCAGGTATTAACTGACGATACAAAACTTAATTAGAATGCTAAAATTACTTGCAAAGACCTTTATTTAACCCGTACTATGCAAAATCACTTGATAGTCTTATGCCCAAATATGATATTACATAATGATTATGATTTTCCTTAAGATTAATCCCTAATACAACAAAGGTATTAGGGGAAAGAATTGTAGTCTTGGCTTCTTAACCCATATACAAATTGACTAGTTTTCTTGAATCTTCTCAAATGAGCCAAGAACTTAATCCATATATAAACCTCATTTGTACAAACTAATATGTTGTCCATATCCTCCCGCCAAATTTATTAGGCCAATATCCAAAGGAAGGAAATACCATAATCTCAAACTTCATTTAGAAAAACTGCAAGAAGAAGAGAAGAATTAGCAATCACATTAACCAGTTATCGCTATAGGAGAATTAGATTTTTACTTCATACAATGGAAAAATAGTTCAAAATGGATAGTGTATTTCTTCATTAGAATGAAACATGACCAATATAGGGATGGTGCCAGTGAATACAATGAAAGCCATGGATGTTTACGGGTGTCAAAGTAAACCCATCTCACATGGGTTAGGTTGAATTAAAAATGAGTCAGTTGAATCCAGTTCATCTTTTGGTAAGTTAGAAACTCTGAAATCTGTCCCACCCACTGCAAATTGATGGATTAAATAGATCGATTCACTTTTTGTTCTCCTAATTTATTTTATAAATTTATTATAGTACATTGAAAAGGGATGGACTTGACCCATCTATTTATCACATTATAATTAAAATACTATCTATTTTACCAAATATTATTATAAAAGTAGTTGAAAATTAAGTGTTTGTCAATTTAATTTGACAAACAAATAAATTAGCATAATAGTATTTAAACATTATTGAACAACTATAAGTAATAAATAATTATAATAAAAAAGGTTCTGGAAAAACTAAAAGATATAATAAAGAAGGGGTGTTGATGGATTATGGGTCAATTGCTTGAACCCGTTTAATTATGAGTTAAATGAGCCCGATTGAGTTTGACTGTCATTTAGGAAAAAACTACATTTTTTTCAACCCAAACTCAATGGGTTAGAACCCATTTAGACAACTCTAATGTTTCCAAGTGAGTATTTACTTTTACAAGAATTCTCTCTGAAAACTACTTATTTAGTTCCTCTGGTTATACAAAAATTATTTTTCAGTTTTAATATTCACATTTTGTCTATTTTAGTTTCTACACATTTCAATTTTAATCTTAGTCTTTATACATACAAATTTTAATTCCTTTTATCTCTAACATCTACTTTATAAGGTTAAAATAATGTATATAAAGACTAAAATAAATCATTTTGCAGTTAAAGAATTGAACAGTAGAAAAAAAGGGTAAGGGGATTAAAAGTTAAAGTTTGGTCAATTATAGGGATTAAATAAATAACTGATTCTTACATTTATATTTAACATGCATGAATGTATCACATATAATGGCTAGTACAAGCAGTGTGCCAATTGCAAATAAAAGAAATAGTTTTACACATCTTTTGTTTGATTATACAATTTCTCTTTTGTCTAGTTTATCTCAAATACAAATGGGCTTGATCAGTCTTATTCAAAATTATTGGTGTGATTTCTTTATGTAGTTTAAGATATACATTAATTACACCAATCATTTTGAATTCATGAAATTCTTTAACTCCATCTTTACTTGGGAGTTAGTCAGAGAAGTCCTTATAAATTGACCAAACAAATGGTTTCTTTTGAGAAAAACCATCCCTCTGGATTTTATAATCTAATTCGATGCAACAGTTGATAAACAAAAACCATGAATCAGCAATCCCTTACCACAGAGGACATTAAAGAACTTAATTAAACATAAATTCAGTCATTAACAATGCTAACCGTATCAGTGGAGCTCATTTACAATCTACTTTTTGTCTCTGAGGCAAGTCCAGCTTGAGCAACTTGGTGAACTACAAAACGTGATTCAACATTCATTAGGACAATGAACTTTTGTAGAATGGTGCACAACAATAATGTGAAGTGAAAATTTCCTTAAAAATGCTTTTGAAGGATGCATGAGCTCTAAACAAAAGGGCCACGCATGAATTTACATCCATATTGAGCTGCATGCACAAACACACCTGAGATGTCTTGAGTTCTAGCTCATCCCATTCCAGATAAGGACTGCTTCCTTCCACAATCCCTGTCCCAGCATATATAAATGCACCTCTATCCTACAATCAAAACATGGCAAGATTATGATTGATGGTAAAGGCATCATGAATAGGTAATAATTAGATTTCGGGAATTTATGGGAATTTCACACTAATTTTCTTCAATTTTACCGGAGGGACAACAGCGGTTTGTTCAAAGCTAGCATATCAATATTTAATTTCAGCAAATGATAAAATCTCACTCCATCTGTGCAAACTTCTGAAACTCAAGTGAAGAAACCTATTCTGAAAGTGATATTCTATTGTCACCAAGATGCATATTAATATTAATGCAGGGAAATATAAAACTGAATCAGATGCGTTTCCTGCTACAGTACTACATAAAAAATACATGAGAAAATTATTCCTGTGCTTTTGATCAAATGTGATCAGGATCCTTACACTTTCCATCAATGAATTTTGTTTAATTTATAAACCAATTGGACTTAGTATTATTCAGGGATTAAAGATAGAAATTTGGCCGGCAAAATATTTCATTTGGACCAGATGCATAAATATTTTATTTGGACGGATAAATGAATAATGGATCTTGAATTTCTTTAATTGAACAAAATACTATATAGGTAAGTGATTTTTCAGGTATTAACTGACGATACAAAACTTAATTAGAATGCTAAAATTACTTGCAAAGACCTTTATTTAACCCGTACTATGCAAAATCACTTGATAGTCTTATGCCCAAATATGATATTACATAATGATTATGATTTTCCTTAAGATTAATCCCTAATACAACAAAGGTATTAGGGGAAAGAATTGTAGTCTTGGCTTCTTAACCCATATACAAATTGACTAGTTTTCTTGAATCTTCTCAAATGAGCCAAGAACTTAATCCATATATAAACCTCATTTGTACAAACTAATATGTTGTCCATATCCTCCCGCCAAATTTATTAGGCCAATATCCAAAGGAAGGAAATACCATAATCTCAAACTTCATTTAGAAAAACTGCAAGAAGAAGAGAAGAATTAGCAATCACATTAACCAGTTATCGCTATAGGAGAATTAGATTTTTACTTCATACAATGGAAAAATAGTTCAAAATGGATAGTGTATTTCTTCATTAGAATGAAACATGACCAATATAGGGATGGTGCCAGTGAATACAATGAAAGCCATGGATGTTTACGGGTGTCAAAGTAAACCCATCTCACATGGGTTAGGTTGAATTAAAAATGAGTCAGTTGAATCCAGTTCATCTTTTGGTAAGTTAGAAACTCTGAAATCTGTCCCACCCACTGCAAATTGATGGATTAAATAGATCGATTCACTTTTTGTTCTCCTAATTTATTTTATAAATTTATTATAGTACATTGAAAAGGGATGGACTTGACCCATCTATTTATCACATTATAATTAAAATACTATCTATTTTACCAAATATTATTATAAAAGTAGTTGAAAATTAAGTGTTTGTCAATTTAATTTGACAAACAAATAAATTAGCATAATAGTATTTAAACATTATTGAACAACTATAAGTAATAAATAATTATAATAAAAAAGGTTCTGGAAAAACTAAAAGATATAATAAAGAAGGGGTGTTGATGGATTATGGGTCAATTGCTTGAACCCGTTTAATTTTGAGTTAATTGAGCCCGATTGAGTTTGACTGTCATTTAGGAAAAAACTACATTTTTTTCAACCCAAACTCAATGGGTTAGAACCCATTTAGACAACTCTAATGTTTCCAAGTGAGTATTTACTTTTACAAGAATTCTCTCTGAAAACTACTTATTTAGTTCCTTTGGTTATACAAAAAATATTTTTCAGTTTTAATATTTACATTTTGTCTATTTTAGTTTCTACACATTTCATTTTAATCTTAGTCTTTATACATACAAATTTTAATTCCTTTTATCTCTAACATCTACTTTATAAGGTTAAAATAATGTATATAAAGACTAAAATAAATCATTTTGCAGTTAAAGAATTGAACAGTAGAAAAAAAGGGTAAGGGGATTAAAAGTTAAAGTTTGATCAATTATAGGGATTAAATAAATAACTGATTCTTACATTTATATTTAACATGCATGAATGTATCACATATAATGGCTAGTACAAGCAGTGTGCCAATTGCAAATAAAAGAAATAGTTTTACACATCTTTTGTTTGATTATACAATTTCTCTTTTGTCTAGTTTATCTCAAATACAAATGGGCTTGATCAGTCTTATTCAAAATTATTGGTGTGATTTCTTTATGTAGTTTAAGATATACATTAATTACACCAATCATTTTGAATTCATGAAATTCTTTAACTCCATCTTTACTTGGGAGTTAGTCAGAGAAGTCCTTATAAATTGACCAAACAAATGGTTACTTTTGAGAAAAACCATCCCTCTGGATTTTATAATCTAATTCGATGCAACAGTTGATAAACAAAAACCATGAATCAGCAATCCCTTACCACAGAGGACATTAAAGAACTTAATTAAACATAAATTCAGTCATTAACAATGCTAACCGTATCAGTGGAGCTCATTTACAATCTACTTTTTGTCTCTGAGGCAAGTCCAGCTTGAGCAACTTGGTGAACTACAAAACGTGATTCAACATTCATTAGGACAATGAACTTTTGTAGAATGGTGCACAACAATAATGTGAAGTGAAAATTTCCTTAAAAATGCTTTTGAAGGATGCATGAGCTCTAAACAAAAGGGCCACGCATGAATTTACATCCATATTGAGCTGCATGCACAAACACACCTGAGATGTCTTGAGTTCTAGCTCATCCCATTCCAGATAAGGACTGCTTCCTTCCACAATCCCTGTCCCAGCATATATAAATGCACCTCTATCCTACAATCAAAACATGGCAAGATTATGATTGATGGTAAAGGCATCATGAATAGGTAATAATTAGATTTCGGGAATTTATGGGAATTTCACACTAATTTTCTTCAATTTTACCGGAGGGACAACAGCGGTTTGTTCAAAGCTAGCATATCAATATTTAATTTCAGCAAATGATAAAATCTCACTCCATCTGTGCAAACTTCTGAAACTCAAGTGAAGAAACCTATTCTGAAAGTGATATTCTATTGTCACCAAGATGCATATTAATATTAATGCAGGGAAATATAAAACTGAATCAGATGCGTTTCCTGCTACAGTACTACATAAAAAATACATGAGAAAATTATTCCTGTGCTTTTGATCAAATGTGATCAGGATCCTTACACTTTCCATCAATGAATTTTGTTTAATTTATAAACCAATTGGACTTAGTAATCTTTAAATGTTTTAAAAAGTTAGGTGAGTTAGATCCACATGTTTTTTAAAGTTTAAGAACCCAATTCATCAATATGAGAGTTCATATATATTCACGTTTGAACAAAAGTGTAGAGAATAAAAACCTTTGATTTATATAAACTGTTAGAAACACAAATGATTTTGGAATATAATCAAAATCTTCATAAAAATTTATGCAAACTGAATATTTCTTTTAAAAAAAAACCCTGCTATTGCTAACCTTTTCCACCAATGCTGACCGAATCCCTACAGCAAATTCACTCTCTCCTCCTCCAAACCAACCAACAGGTCCAGCATACATCCCTCGGTCAAATACTTCTGCATATTGTCTATGAAAGTAAGTAAAATTTAACAAAATGGTTGAAGTTAAAACTTAGCCACAAGCCACCAGCTCATAAGATAACATGCCAGTAACTCTAGCGCAAAACCTTCAGGCACAGGGGGGGGGGCTCAATGATCTGGCAGGCTAAGAAAAGAAAAGAGGAGGGAAACATTATAAATGTCAGTACCAAGTATGAGGTTTCAGGTGGCCATTCCTTGGAGGTTTCTAATGTTCATTCTGTCCAAATAGAAAAATTTATTTGACAATAATTAGGTTGTTTCATCTTCTGTTTTTTCCCTTGTTGGATTCTTGTTAGTTTGAAAGTTTGCATCTCTTCCACCCTAGTCCACAGCGGTTTGTGGTTTCCAACCGAAGAGGCACAACTTTTAATTGCAAAGACAGGTACATCCTCTTTTCATTTACTACTATTTCTACCCAATCAAATATTTTTTTTTTTACTTTCAAATAAGCTCATGCTAGGCATCAGTGGCATAACATGAAGATTTTATTAAAGAAAATAAAAAGAAAAAGAACAGAAACATGAGAGAACATACTAAACCTATGATAAAAATACATCACACACATAAGCAAAAAATACCTATTATGAAAAAGCTAAGTAAATATAGATGTGGAAAAAGTAAATCAATGCAACACGAGTAAGAAATTGAAGCTCAATAATCAAATTTATCAACATCATATTAAGAGATTTATAATTAACTAACATGCTAACAATCCAAAAAGGACCGTTAAAACTCATTACTGCTTTTCAGAAACCTTTGCTTTGGAAAATTTAGTATTAATTTTCTTTGGCCTAGTCCGACCAGGTTTCCTTGTAGTTTGAACTGGCTCATCATCTTCTTCAAATTAGAATCTTTTCCTCTCATCACACTATCAGCAATTTAGAGGCTAATTTTCAATTCCTCCGCAAAACAAGCAAATCAAATGAGAAAGCTTTAAAAAAGTTGAGGGCGCCATTGAGTTGGTTTACTTATTCAAAGGTTTGATTTATTTACCTCCATGATTCATTTTATTGTTTTCTTCTATAAATAATTGTTCGAAAGTTTCCATACTAGATTTTGGTAAATTTGATAATTGGAAATTATATCAGTGTACTTTGTTTGAATTAAGTGAGTTGAAAGTTCCATGTTAGGTTGAAATAGGCAAGAAGATAAGGAGAAAAGATCTACTAACCTTATGT